AACAACCATAACTGCCAGAAAATCAAACTGTATGGAAGTCTAACAACCAAGGAGATAAAGAATAAACATTCATCCATAATGGTAGAAGGGGCAGAAACGGGAAGCTGGGTGGAGAGAACTCATGGCAAGGCCTCAGCTGGAGAACTGGGCAAAGTGGAGTGGAGAACTAGCTGGTGGAGTGGGTGATCCCATGTTTGTGTGCTGATAAACTGGGAGAAACAACTGGGGAGCAAGACAGACCATGCAACCCAGGGTTTCAGTGATGAGACATAAAACCACAAAACCTCTGACTGAAAAAAACGGTGGGGGTTGTGACAGCAAGGGAAATTCCTAGCCTCATGGGTGAGTTTATTGAAGAAACCCACAGGGTCCTAGGAGTTACACAAACCTACCCACCCATGAATTGGCACCAGAAGGGCCCAATTTGCTTGTGGGTAGTGGAGACAGTTACTGAAAGCTGTCCCAGAGCTGAACAAGCTGCATTGTTTCCTCTTGGACCCCTCCCATATACAGCACCACAACATAGTGACTTGGGTTGCCCTGCCCTGTTGAATACTCAAGGCTCCTCCCCTTACTACATAACAGCCATGCCGAGACAAAAAAAACTATGGCCCAAATGAAAGAATAGATAGAAGAATAGACCAGAAAAAATACAACTAAGCAATGAAGAGATAGCCAACCTATCAGATGCACAGTTCAAAACGCTGGTAATCAAGATGCTCACAGAAATGGTTGAGTATGGTCACAAAATGAAGGAAGAAGTAAAGGCTATGAAAAGTGAAATAAAGGAAAATGTACAGGGAACCAATAGTGATGGGAAGGAAACCAGGACTCAAATCAATAGTTTTGAGCAGAAAGAAGAAATTAACTTTCAACCAGAACAGAATAAAGAAACAAGAATTCAAAAAATTGAGGAGACTTAGGAACCCCCAGGATAACTTGAAACATTCCAACAACCAAATCAGGAAGGTGCCAGAAGGAAAAGAGGAAGAGTAAGAAATTGAAAACTTATTTGAAAAAAATAATGAAGGAGAACTTTTCTACTCTGGTGAAAGAAATAGACTTCCAGGAAGTCCAGCAAGCTCAGCGAGTCACAAAGAAGTTGGACCCAGGAAAGCACACACCAAGACACATCATAAGTACATTCTCCAAGATTAAAGGTAAGGAGAGAATCTTAAAAGCAGCAAGAGGAAAGGAGAGAGTTACCTACAAAGGAGTTCCCATAAGATCATCAGCTGATTTCTCAAAAGAAACCTTGCAGGTAAGAAGGGATGGAGAAGTATCAAAGACATGAAAGTCAAGGACCTACATCCAAGATTACTCTATCCAGCAAAGCTATCATTTACAATGGAAGGGCAGAAAAAGTGCTTCCCAAAGAAAGTCAAGTTAAAGGAGTTCATCATCACCAAGTCCTTATTATATGAAATGTTAAAGAGATTTATCTAAGAAAAAGAAGATAAAAAATATGAACAGTAAAATGACAACACACTCAGAACTATCAACAACCAAACCTAAAAATAAAACAAAAAACAAAAACAATCTAAGCAAACTACTAGAACAGGAACAGAATCACAGAAATGGAGATCACATGGAGAGCTATCAATGGGGAGGGGCAGGGAATGGAGAAAAGGTACAGGGAATAAGCAGCATAAATGATAGGTACAAAATAGACAAGAGGAGGTTAAGAATAATACAGGAAATTGAGAAGCCAAAGAACTTCTATGTATGATCCATGGACATGAACTAAGTAGCGAGGGGATGTGGGTGGGAGAGGGTGTGCAGGGTAGAGCAGAATAAGGGGGGGGAAATTGGGAAAACTGTAATAGCATAATCAATAAAATATATTAAAGAAAAAAGAAAGCCCTGGCTGGCGTAGCTCAGTGGATGGAGTGCGGGCTGGGAACCAAAGTGTCCCAGGTTCGATTCCCAGCCAGGGTACATGCCTGGGTTGCAGGCCATAACCCCCAGCAACCGCACATTGATGTTTCTCTCTCTCTCTCTCTCTCTCTCTCTCCCTTCCCTCTCTAAAAATAAATAAATAAAAATCTTTAAAAAAAATTAAAAAAAAAAAGAAATTGTGACACACACACAGAGGACTACTATTCAATAATTATAAAGAATGAAAATTTGCCATTTGTGACAGCATAGATGAATCTTGAGGGCTTTATGCTAAGTGAAATAAGTCACACAGGCACAGACAAATACTGTATGATCTCATTTATATGTGGAATCTAACAAAAGCAAACTCATAGAAACAGAGAGCAGGTTGGTGGTGTCTGGAGGTGGAGGGTATGGAGTGGGCAAAATGGGTCAAGCTGTTCAAAAGTCACAAACTTCCTGTTAGAAGATAAATTAATTCTGGTGATGTGATGTACAGCATGGTGACTATAGTTAACAATACCATACTGTATATTTGAAAGTTACTAAGAAGATAGATCTTAAAAGTTCTTATTATAAGAAATAAGATGTAACTATGTAGGTGATGGTAGTTAACTAGCCTTATTGTGGTAATCATTTTACAATATATACATATATCAAATCATTATGTTGTATACCTTAAACTAATACAATATTATATGTCAATTATATCTCAATAAAATGGGAATAATGGAAATAAAAGTCACTTACCACTATAAAAATGTTCATCTTATCCATAAGCACCCTAACAGAAAGACTCAGAATGTTTGACCATGTATCTGACACATGAAATTAATCATCATAGTATCCAATAGAATATCATGGGAATAACATACTATACCTTCTAAGGGTAGATTATAAAAAACATTGTGGCTTCTGCTGTACTCTCTTGTTATGGGAGTAGAATAAGAATGAGCTTCCATGTCATAAGACTACTCAAATACAGGGTCCAGCACAAGTAAGACCCCCTTTTTATTACAAATCCTTTTATTAAAAAATCATAAGCATGTAATTCTGTAACATAATATCACACTCAAGCACTCCATATGACATTTCAGGTGAAATGTTTAAATTAAAACTATAAATTATTATACCAATTTTATTACCCTACCAACCACACTCTAGCAAGCCTTACTTCTGCCAGACCCTATAGTATAATACTATGATGAGGTCCACATGGTGAGGATATGAAGCCTCCAGCCAAAAGCCATGTCAGTGAACCATCTCACATGAGGATCTTTCAGTCCCAGTCAAGTCTTCCAATGACTGCCGTTCTGGCTGATGTCTTGATTGCAACCTCATGAGAAATTCCAAGGCAGAAGCACCTTGCTAAGCTGCTCTCAAATTCCTGGCACACAGAAACTGTGTGAGATAGTAAGTATTTATTATTTTTTCAATCCTCACCTGAGGATATGTTTCCTGATTTTAGAGAGAGAGAAAGGAAGAGAGGGAAACATCAATCAGTTGCCTCCCATATGGACCCTGACGAGATCGGCCTGCAACCTAGGTATGTGCCCTGATCAGGAATTGAACCCACAACATTTTGGTGCATGGGACCACACTTTAACCAACTGAGCCACCAGGCCAAGGCAATAAATATTTATTCTTGATTTAAATCAGTAAGTTTAGGTTAATTTGATAATATGCAATAGATAACCAATCTTAAAGTCACTCTACCAAAAATAATTGATGTGTACTCTTCAAAAATGTCATGGTCATGAAAGGCAAAAAAAAAAAAAAAAAGCTGAAGACTTTGTTCAGACTAAATGAGATAAAAAACATAACATTCAAATGCAATGTATGATCTTAGAATGATCCTAGACTAGAAACAAAGTATGTTTGTGTATTTGCTTATAATAACCATCACTGAGATGATTGGAGAAATTTGAGTATAGTCTATTGCTTAGATAATAGTATTGTGTCAATATTAATTTCCTGGTTTTGCTCATTGCATTGTAGTTGTGCAAGAGAATGTTCTTGTTTTTAGCAAATACAGACTGCAGTATGGATGAAGGAGGGAGGTCATTCCTGTAAGTGATCTCAAACAATTCCAAAGTAACAATTATATAATTATATAATAATATGTGCATGCATCTATGTATATTATATTCATATATATGAAACTATATCTATCTATATTTATTCTCTCTGTCATTATCTACCCAGCCATCCAAAGTGAAAGAGAGACAGAAATGGTATAGAAAAAGTGAAATGTTAACATTTGGAGACTATATATATATATATATATTACATATATCCATATACATATATATATATATATATATTCAATTCTTTGTGCTACTCTTGCCACTTTTCTGTAGAAATTATTTCAAAGTAAAGACAAATACCATATGATCTCACCTGTAAGAGTAATCTAATGAACAAAATACACTAATAAACAAATTAGAATCACAGACAGGGAAACATGGAACAGACTGCAAGTGACCAGAGGGAAGTGGGGAGGGGGGTAATGGTGGAAGAAAGGGGAAGGGACTAGACAGAAAACATCTATGAATGACCCACGGACATGGACAACAGTATGGGAATTGACTGTGGGAGGGGTGGGATGGGCAGAGGGCAATGGAGGAAAAACTGGGATAACTGTAATAGAATACTAATAAAAATGATTTTTAAAAAAGGACATGATAGCAGAGGTTGCCGCTGTTCAAAATTTCCTTTCTAAATAAACTCTTGTTTCAACCAGGGGGTTAGAATTAATAGCTTTTTAAATAAATTTAGTGGATTCAAGCCAAAATTTAAAAAAAAAACGAGGAAAAGAAACGTTATTCTTGATTAGTAAGGGTGATTACTATTTTGTGAAACTTTTGTTCCACTTCTCCAGAGGCAAAGGCAGATGCACTGAATAGCACAGTGGGAAAGTTGGAAAGCCACGGCACTGTTGGCTAGAGTGTTAGCCAATGACCGGGGGTCAGAATTCCACCGTTCGCCCGCCCCCTCTGGCCTGCCTCTTGCTGCCAGGGCCACCCTAACCGGCGTGGGCGTCCGGCCCCCAGGCAGCCTGCAGGTGCACGTGCAAAGCTAACACGTGATGCCAGATACTATTTAAGAGGGCACCTTCCCTTGCTTGCAGCTGCCTCCTGTTTCAGCCCTACGCTCCTGGAGCTGCCAGAGGCTCGCGGATCTCGGAACGCATCCCACCGCTGAGGCTGCCGCCGTGGCATGGGCACCGCGGGTCTGCTCTGGGTTTTCTTGGCTCTCCTCACGCCTAGGGTCCTCGGTGAGCTGGGAGGGGGAGCATGGAGGTAGGGACGCGTCTGTTTGGGTCAGGGACGACGTTTTGTGCCATGAGGCAAAGCAGAATCAAAAGCGAGAAGGTGGGGGCAATATCAGACGCTTGCCTTCCTCCAGCTCGCTTTGGGGGACCCCTGCAATCTCTTGGTTCTGAAGGTACTCACTGGCGGCCCCAGGGGCTGGGAGCACCAAAACTGGAGGCTGCCCTACAGAGGGGCGCTGTGTGATCTACCTGGTGAGGCTGGTGGCATGCACTCTCAGTTCCCTCTGGCTCCCCGCCCCTAGTCTCAGCAGGTGCTCCACACTCTCCGCGGGGGGCTCTGCTAGCTCTAACCATGGCCCCATAGCCAAAAGCTGCCCTTGATATGTGCAAAGTCCGAAGCACGCTCTACTAGTCGCGGGAGTTTTTGTATCTGCTGAACTGGCTCCTGCCGCGTGCAGCGTGTCCTCCCGCTTCCTTCCCTAAGAATGTCTGCTTCCTAGGCATGGTGCTCACATCCCACCCCCCCACCCCCGCTTTTTTTTATTGTAATTTTTGTAAAGAGCTCCTAAACAACAAACTCCTGAAATTACTTAGAAAACGCGAGGCATTAATTAAAACTAGTTGTCTTTGTGTTGTTTACCTTCTGTGATGGTTATAGCTGCAGAAGGTCTCATTTAACATTTATTGCAACCTCCACCCCAAGACTGGACTAATCTTAAAGAAATGTAGTTTGTCAAGATTAGAACCTCCTGGAGACCAGATAGGTCTAACTTTCTCCTAATTACCTCCAGGGTACAGTGAACTCCTAGTTTATTAAGAAGGTAACTCTATGCAGACCTCAATGACTGGGTGACTTTGGGCAAGTCAGTTAGCTCTCTGATTCTCAGTTTCTTCCTCTGTGAAATGAAGCTAGAGATAAACTGCTCTGCCACCTTACTGAGCTTCCCTGAATAGCGGATGAAATTGACAAATGCGAGTTAGATATTAGTTGTTACTACTAACTACCAGTAATAAAACTACTTGATGGACCTATTTTTATGGAACCAGCGTTTAAGCTTAACCACCTCCAGCTCGTTAAGGAAAAATTACAACTTATTTGTTCTGCTTCCTGACATTAACTTTCTCCTGACCCTTAATTGACTGTTTCCCCAAACGATTGTCTTCTTTCTCTCTCCTACACATTAACTCCCTTTAAATGCACATTCACAACTTTCTCCAACACCTGTGTGGCACAGTTGCAGACCAGGCTTCCCACCAGCCTCGCATTGCTATTTCTAACTTTTAAAGAAACGATTATAAATTGAAAATCAAATTCTTCACCAGCTCTGCCAATTCACCATCCCTTCCAAATGTGCCAGAGTATCCCTTCTCAGTACCATCCTCTAGGTCACTTAAACCCAAACACCTGAGAGACCAGGTCTACCAACCTGACAACTCTGTTAGCTAATGCTCCCCTGTTGTTTGTATCTGTCATTCTAATGTGGGTATTATATAACCTGTGTAACAACCTCCTTTCTTACAGGTCGCTATGATATCAGTCTTTAACCTTCCCAATAGTGGAAAATCAAAATTCTTGAAACTACATATATTTTTCATTATTCTACTTCCTTTCTCAAAAAATCTAAAAGGGTTTTATGTTTAGAGGGGGAAAAAAACTGATTTGTTAGGGAAAAATGAAGTCATCACTTTCAACCTCATTGACCCTACCCCCTCATCAAGGACTCTTTCAATGGGCAACAGTGGGAGTCTCTGGGGCCCCTAAGGGCAGTGTTTGGCTCTGTCTGCCTAGTTTTTCAGGATCAAACTCAACATTGAGGGACCCATTTAATGCTTTTAGCCTGCAGAGCAAGGAGCTTTGTTCCTTCTATGTGTTCTTAAACTGACTGTCAGCTGCTGGTTTGGTGGCAGCAGACCCCGCCTCTGTTGGTGTAGGGGCCTTGCTGGCTTCTTTCTAAACAGCTCAAGTTCTCACAACCTGCATGGAAAACGTATGCAACAGAACGTGTTCAAAAAGAGAAAAAATGGAGGAACAAGAAATGACAAAATTTTAGCTACAAGGCAGCATAAATGTTAAGAATTCTAAATATGATGTAAGAATTATACTCAAATAGAACATGAGAATGTATTTTTTAAAAACATCTAAAAGGATTTCCTACTGCCTGTGTGATTAAAAAAAAATCAAATGTCTTCAGCCTTTCAAGCCCTTTGTAAATGGATCTCACCAAAGCATGCCCCTCCAGATTCCTCATTTTTCCTATCATGCACATACCATTCATTGTCTTCCCTGACTGTCCCCCCATGGTTCTTTGTTTATACTTTGCCCACACCCCTATCCTGACTTTGTCACCTACTATGTACCCTCCCCAGACTGTTTCTTGGCTCTTGGCCAGTTCCTGCCCCTGAACATGCTTAAGTTCTTAAGAGACCTTTTTAAAATACAGGTTCCTAGGTTCCACATCACACTCTAGAGATCAGTAGGTTTGGGATGTGGCCCATAAAGCTGAGGTTTAACGAGCACTCTGGAAAATTCTGAAGTAAGTATCTATGGGGCATACTGCTGTAAGCAGGTATATGGGAAGCAAATCTCCTTCTTAGAGTATTTCTCCACTTCTTTAGTTTGACTATTTACATGATTCAAATTTACTGCACTAATTAATTTCATTCTTGCCAAGATCCTCAAACAGGAATTCCCTTGTTTTCTAATCATCTACCTCCATCTAAGATCAGATCCTTTTACTCACTTGCTTAAAATCTGTCAAGGGCTTCCCATCACATTAGAATAAAATTAACACACCTTATCCTTGACTACAGGCCTCTGCCTCTCTCTAAAATTCTCTATCCCACCCCCCAACTTCCTCTGTTCCAGCCACACTGACTTTCTTTCCATTCCTTGGACACACATTTGTTTAGTCTTTGCACTAAGTGTCCCCTCTGTTGAAATGCTCTTCCTACAGATCATCTTGACTGCCTGCTGGGCATTCAGGTCTCAGCTTCACCTTTATTCTTTTCTGACTTTTATCTGAAGCAGTTGTTCCCCCAGATCACTCTCTGTCACATAACTATGTTCTATTTCCCAAAGAGCGCCTATGTCACATGAAATACTCTTGCTTATTTACTTGCTTGGGTTTGTTTCCTCACTGGAATGCATGTTCCAAGAGAACATTGCTCAGTGAATTCTAGAACTAGCATATAACTAGGAGTTCAATAAAGGTGTTCTTTTCCTTCTTCAACAATGGAAAAAGTATCCTTTCTACTGAAAAACCAACTCCTCTTCCTGTATTCATGATCACATTGCATCCCCTCTTGTCTTTGGAAGGTCTTTACTTCTGCAATGTACTCTGACTTGCATCATTCCATTTACATCACTTGTCGACTTATTCCCATCAGGAGTTAAACATGCCCTAAGACTTTCTTTATTTGGTAAAGAGAATTTCTCATAACCAGTGGAACTTCATTTTTCTGCATCTATTCCTCATCATTCTCAGCAAAATTTTCCACTGCCTACTTACTCACATACCTTTATCTCCTTAACCAACTCTAGACAAGCCTCCTTCCCCACCATTTTCCTAAGGCTGCTCTCAGCAAGCTCACTACTGACCTTCATGCTGGCAAATCCAGTGATCATTCTTCTATCCTTATCTTCCTCAGTCTTTCAGCAAAAGCTGAATACTTCTAACCTCTTAAAACAGTCCCATCCTCATTTTCCAAGACAGGACACTCTTACCTACTTTTTCTGTACCTCTCTGGTTGCTCTTAGTCCCTTTGGCCCTATCTCCAAATGTTAGAGGGCTTGGGGCTTCAATGCTGGACCTCTTCTGTTTTTCTCAATACTTTTCTTCCTAAAAGATTTCATCCAATTTCATGGCTTTAAACACTATTTATATGTTAATGACTTTATTTGTTATCTATAATCCTGACCTATCTCCTGAGTGGCAAATTTGTACATCCAACTGCCTACCTAGCATTTCCATCTGGAGACCCAGTAAGTGTGTTGAATATACCAAATCTAAAGTGCAGTCAATTCTATTCCTACCATATCTTACTCACCCCCTCCACCCCGTCCCCCCCAAAAAACTGGTTCTTTCCCAGGCTTTCCCCTCTTAGTACATATATTACAATCAACTAAGTAACTCAAGTGAAAAGCCTAGAAGTTATTACTAAATCCTCTCATTTCCTTAACCCCACATCTAATGTACAAAAAGTCTTCACAATTTATTCTGAAGTATATTCCAAATTGATCCACTTCTCACTATGTCCTTGTAGTCCATGCCTCATTTTTACTGTCTGAAATACTATCATAGCCTCCAGACTGCACTCCTTGGCTTCTGAAAGTAAAAGTCCAATCTATTCTCCACCCAATTGCCAGAGTATTCCTTTTAAAAAGTCAGTCAGGCTGTTTGACTCTCCTGCTTGAACTCTCCAATGACTTCCACTCAGGATAATCTCCAGACATCTGACTGCTGCTTGAGGAGCCCTGTGCAACCTGTCCTTATTGAGACTTCTAACTTGATGTCATGCCCCTCTGTTTTAATCACTGTATCCAGACTCACTTGCCTTTTGTCTCTCCCTAAAGAGTAGCAAATCCATCCCTACTGTTAGGCCTTTGTGTACAAAGCTTTTATCTAGTGCTCTGCCTGGCTGGTTGCTTCTTATCCTTCAGTAGCAACTCAATGCTGATTCTTTATAGGCCTTCTTTAAGCATCATAACTAAAGAGATATACCGTGCTATCCCCTCGTCCTTCTGGTGCATTACATTTTGACACATCACTCTGTTTATTTCCTTTACAAATCTTCTGTTTATTGGTATTTATTTATTATTTGTCCTGCTCTATTGGAATATAAATTTCATGAAGGTGGGAGCCTTGTCTCTAATGTTCACTGATGCATCTCCTATATTTAGGACAGTACCTTGGTTAATATATATAACCATTATTCAAAAATGATCAAATAACAAGGAAGCCCAGTGTTAAAGTGTTTGATTATAATAATTTTCCTCCTACCTGCTTTTTGACTTAATTTTTAGTTTTACTTAAATTATCTTATATAGTTCTTTTTTTCACTTTTTAAAAATTCATGTTTGAATACAGTTGTCTCCATTTTTCCACCAGCACTTTCCCCTGCCCTACCCATGCCCACCTCCCACCCTCAATCCCACCCCACTTTGGCTCCATCCATGGATCCCTCATTCATGTTAATTTACATTCCTTTCCCTTCTTTCTCACATTATTTCCCTCTTCCCTGCACTCTGGTTACTGTCAGTTTCTTGTCGATTTCCATGTCTCTGGCTATATTTTGCTTGCCAGTTTGTTTTGTCAATTAGGTTCCACTTATAGGTGAGATCATATGGTATTTGTCTTTCACCACCTGGCTTACTTCACTTAACATAATACTTTCCAGTTCCATCCATGTTGTCGTGAAGGGTAGGAGTTCCTTTCTTTCTGCTGTATAGTATTCCATTGTGTAAATATGCTGTAGTTTATTGATCCACTCATTTACTGATGACACCTAGGCTGCTTCCAGCACTTGGCTATTATAAATTGTGCTGCTATGAACATTCAAGTGCATAGGTTCTTTTGGATTGATGTTTTAGGTTCTTAGGATATAATCCCAGTAGTGGAATTGCCAGGGCAAAAGATAATTTCATTTTTAGCTTTCTGAGGAAATTCCATACTGTTTTCCACAGAGGCATTCCCAGTTTGCATTCCCACCAACAGTGTACTAAGGTTGCCTTTTCTCCACAACCTCACCAGCACTTACTATTAGTTGATTTGTTTATGATGGCAATTCTGACCAGTGTGAAGTGGTATTTCATTGTGGTTTTAATTTGCATCTCTCTGATGGCTAGTGATGCTGAGCATCCTTTCATATGTCTCTGGGCCCTCTCTATGTCCTCCTTAGAGAAATGTCTGTTCAGATCCTTTGCCCATTTTTTAATTGGATTGTTTGTCTTCCTGGTGTGGAATCATGTATAGTTGTTCTTCATTAATTTCAAATGAATTTCTAAGCCATTCTAGGAAGAGCTACTTGGATCTAAATAAAAAATTAAATGTATTTCTGTTCTCTAGAAATAACTTTCTCTATTTAGTTTTTAACATGTTTTAAGGAATGTATATGTCAATGTCTTGCCACTATCTTCTATTTTAGATCTAGTCATGATCTACTCACATTTTTATTTTGGATATTAGGAGATATGAAGAGGGTTCAGTGATGCTTAAGAAAATTCATATTACTCAGAATTCATGAACTAACCTTCCCTTTTCTGAAATGGAACAGAACATGATTGCTAAAAATTCTGTCTTTGACCTGGGATTTTGATAATTTCATGACTAATGAGAGCTAGTGTCTGCCAAAAGAAAAAAAGTCCCAAGTATTCTTATTAAGGATGCAAATTTCCCATTTGCCATTTGGAAAGTGTGATTCTCCTCTCCTTTCACTTTGGAAGGTCATGTTATAAAGTACCTTTCTGCTTTTGCTGCTTCAGAATTTTGGTTCCATCGTACTCCATGTCTTTGCTACAATCTTGTGGACTAAAATTGGTTTCCCAGCTTGTGGAGAGCTATTTGATATTGTCCTTATCCACATTGGATAATTTCAGGTTAAATCACTTGCTTAAATTGACACAAGTAATGTCATGCCTGTGAAGTTGGTCTTCAATGAGGTCAAACCCTGTCTTTCCCTATAGAGGCCTGGTGTTTTACACAGGCAGGCACTTAGAGATATTTACAGTTGTTAATGGAGGGCACCAAAGGAGTCAAGAAAAGGAATAGAAGGAGACCTACAGTGTGCTCTGGCTCCCAACAGTGATGGATATTCTTAGTAAATCTATATGACTTCAGCAGAAGTGTTGGGCTATAGACAGGCTGGGACTGGCTAAAACTGTGGAAGGTCTCTTTGCCTTTATGTCCACTAGTCCATAATTTTTCTTTACCTTTCACTTGTACCCATCTCAGGTTTGTTTGAAAAAGAGATTTCTAAATTTATTATTTAAATATACTGCCATTCTAAAATTAAAACTTGAGATTTCATACCTAGAAAAATGACTTTTCCAAGCATATCCTTAAATATGTGGGTATTACAGTTTCTTACCCATATCATAGGATAAAATTTGTTTCTTAGATAGTGTTATTATTATTTTTTAACTCACAGGGAATTGTCTTGAAATGACTAGTTCCTTTTATCTGGCACCTGTCAGAAAAAATTACTAAGCTCTCTTAGAGGGCATATTATTCGACTAGGTTAATGGAATGCAATAATGAAGGATAATAAACACACACATTTTTATTGGTAGAAACTAAAGCTTTAATGACTAACAAAGTAATGTTAATTCATTAAAATAATTTTAGGGCATCTTACCATGCTCAAGCTTATTAGGCCTCTGATGTACTTTAGTTTCCTGTGCTATATTAGAAAAGTTTATTTATAAGGTTTTATTTCTTATATGTGAGGTTCTGAAAAGATGAAATAACTCCAGGGTCTTTATGATATTTTATGAAAACTTATTTTCTCCATCTAAAGTCTGTCCTAAAATGTCTTTGAACTTATCAGCTTATTTTTTCTGTGTATGCACCCACACTGCAAAATATATGTACTTTGTCTAAGCAACTATTGCCCCATTTTGGGTTTACTTTCTAAAAGTTATCAGGGTAATTGGTGACAAAACAGAAGCAAAGTAGAAGTTTTAGCCTCTCTTACTTTCGATATTCATGTGGTCTTTGTCTCTAGGTCAGTGTAAGTTCCTGCCAAGGTATCCTTTTGCTAAGCCAAAAGTTCAGAGTAATCAGTCTGAGTTTGCTATTGGGACATCTTTGGAATATGAATGCCTTCCTGGGTATAGCAAAAGGTCATTCTCTGCCACCTGCCTAGAGACCTCCGAGTGGTCAGATGCTCAGCAATACTGTAAACGTGAGTAATCATAATAGAGGCATCTTTGGATCTATTAGTATCTCTATGGGCTAACCTGTTATTTTTCATGATAAATGATTAGAAAATTAGTAAGTCATCTCAATGAAGGCTCCTGGGTTTTTCTTCTTCTCTTTTACTCCTAAAGGTGTTAAGTATTGAGGTTAAGTCACCACAGCTGGCCCACCCTGTTTACCTGTGATTTCCATGACTTTATGTTCTCTGTACTGTGTTAGAGTGAGGTTAGAAGTTAGTATGCACAGAATAATAGTTTCACATCATTCTTACTTCCATTTAATTCAAGAGTTTTTTTTAAGTGACTACTAGGTATGAAGCTTTACGCTAGATGATGGGGCTAGAGAGAACCATAAAAGTCTGCTAGTCCCTTCCTGTGAGGAAATCTTATACTAATTGTAAGAATGGCTTTTAAACAAATACTGTACTATCATGTAATTTCACTTATTCATAGCTGAAAATTTCTATGAGATCATAAAAAATGTGAATAATAAATGCAATCTAGGAGAATTAGGGAAATCTATACATGATAGGCAGAGGAAATATCATACACAAAAGCATGAAAATGTAAAAGAACATGACATCTTCAGAAAATAGAAAAATTCAGTACACAGTGAGGAATAGTAGTTGATTAAGTAAATTGGAGCTTAACTATGACTGGCCATGAATTTTTTCAATCAACAATGTTAAGTTATTGTAAGTTAAAATGTAGGTAGTGGTACAACCATACTTGTGCTTCGGAAAGGTAATGTGTTCACTGGTAGATGTGCATAGAAGTTGGAAACCAGAGTTGGAAAGGTAAATTTTGTTACTCAATTCTCCAGTGAGAGATTACAGCTTTGATAAAATAGTTGGTTTGGAGATTTTTGGAATTCAGTTACTAATATTTGGTGACCAGCTCAATGAAGGGCCGGAGATAAAGAATGAGTTACAAAAAGGAAATGATGACTATTAAGTTTGTTTTTTTTTTCTTTAAGTCACAAGAGCTGGTAGATGATGCCATCACCTGACAGAGTATAAAAAGGGGAAATAGAGATTATAAATTTTGTTGACCACAAATAACGTTTTGCATGCACACTCAGAAATATAGGCTATATACTTTAAGTAAATGTTGTTCTGGAGTTGACTATTCCCTTGGAAGATAGAAGTTTTATAAATGTCAGAAATTTCTTTGAGTAAACATAAATAAGCTAGCTGGAAAGTCCAGTCAGGTTGGGACTTATACAAAACATGAAAGGCTCCCCAAATCCTATTTTGTTTTGTTTTATTTTCCTTTGTAGGTAAATCATGTGTAAGTCCTGGAGAACTCCTCCATGGCTCTGTCCTCATACACATGAATATCGAATTTGGGGCTACAATTACATATTCTTGTGACAAAGGGTGAGTTGGCAGGAGACATTTCCAGGGTACGTGGGTTTTATAGCCATCATTTTAGCCAGAAGCCATCTGTCTTCAAAAGGGGATTTGAGTAATTGCCACCTACCCTTCAAAATAGAGAAGCAAAAAGATGATCACCTACCTCATCTGCTCTAGAGACTGTCTTTCAGGATTACCCACAAGAGAGGTTACCTAGAAGAGAAAGTAGCTTGGGCTACCCTTCTTCCAATTTTAAATCTCCAGTGTTACTGACCAGCAGGCAAATTTTACTTGGCTTTAGATTCTTTAATCTTTTGTATGAGTCCTTAGTCCATCACTGATCTTGTCATACATGACATTCCATCCTTTGCCATTCTTTCAGTGGACAAAGAACTAAGCTTTGCTGAAGTGTACATCTAGCTGAGAGATGACCATTCATCTCTTTGCCTTTAGATACCGACTCATTGGTGACTCATCTGCTACATGTATTATCTCAGGCAATACTGTAACCTGGGATAAGGACATGCCTTTATGTGAATGTGAGTACAATGATCCCTTTACTGTACCCTATGTAATTCTTCTTGTATTCTTCTAGAGGGAAATTAGGCATCTGCATATCAAAATGTGTACCCAGACAAAGTTACAGTTGGTTTGGAAATTTCTGGACACAGAGCTGTGGTTTATGTTCTTCCAATTACCCCCATCCCACCACACTTTCCTTTCATTTCTCCCCTTTGATGATAAGTTATTTCATACTGAATAAGGGCTTAAATCTAAATAAAATATGCCATGAGATTACATTGCCAACTTTATTTCATGAAAAATGTAGGTCATCCCAGGTACCTCATATAACAATTTATCTGTATTCTGAAGATGAGATCTAGTGATCTTGTCATAGTTTTTTTGTTTGTTTGTTTGTTTTTTTACTTTATATCAGGGAAGTTCCAGGAATTTTCCTACCTTTCAGCCTCCTATATAATCATCTTTAAGACAAGGTTATACTATTCAATAAAATGTGTTCCTTGTAGACTGAATTAGAGTTACGTTTTTAAGGCTGAACATAAAATTCCCAGAAGGTATAACATTTAAATATCTCCTTTCTTTTTCCACCTGATTTTCAAAGCTATTCCTTGTGAGGCACCCCCAGAAATCTCCAATGGGGACTTTTCTAGCAGCAGTAGAGAGAATTTTTACTATGGAATGGTGGTGACTTATCAGTGCGATGTTGGACAGAATGGGGAAAAGCTGTTTGACCTTGTGGGTGAGAAGTCAATATATTGCACCAGCAAAGACAATCAAGTTGGCATCTGGAGTGGCCCTCCTCCTCAGTGTATTGATCTAGTCAAATGCCCAATTCCAGAAGTTGAAAATGGAATTATAGAATTTGGATATAGACGTTCATTTTCCTTAAATGATACTTTGATGTTTAAGTGTAAGCCTGGCTTTACCATGAAAGGCAGCAACACAGTATGGTGCCAACCAAACAGTAAATGGGATCCTCCACTGCCAAGGTGCTTCAAGGGTGAGTTGGATTGAAAATTTGGTAATCTATAAATGAAATTTGGTTGAATAGACACATGGTAGCTATGAAAGGAGGAGGAGAAAGATAGTAGATATGGTTGGGTATCCTCACTAAAGAATTTCAATGTGAACTTTGAAAGTAAAATGTACCCATTGATGAGATAGGAAATTTATAAACATCATGGAGCAATGTGAGATCTACATTAATGTAGGGGAATTTAGAAGGTGCTTTCAAAAAGCAGATAGTGCCAGAGCCAATGATCAGATATTTTTCTGAAACATGTACATAAATCAATTTTATTTGAAGTTAAAATGAATTCTCAATCCCATTAGTCATGCCAATGGGGTAATTGGCTGATGTTGGAATTTGATTCAAATATTTGTAGACATTACAAATTCTTATATTGAAAATAAGGCTAGAATTAAGATTTAGTCTCTTCCCCCATTCTCTCTTTCTCCCCTACTCTTATTGAGAATATCTGACTTGCAAAAATGTGGCTACATTCAGATCCCCTTGCTCTCACACTACAAGGCCCAGAACCCTTATTGGCCTGGTTTGGGGAGCAGGAAAAATGAGGTAGATTTTGGTGGTAAAAATGGATTACCAAAGATTGGTTCCCTTGACTACTGTATCAGTGAAAAGAAAACCACCATCATTTTAGTTAAATAAAGTGGAAAATGATGAGTAAATGTAATGTTTCCTGGTACATTAAGAGAGAAAGCAGATGGTTGCATGGTTCATCATGTATAAAAGAAAGTAATGAATGTTAGTCCACTCCACATTACTAAAGGACTCTCTGCTTTATATTAGGAGAGTTGACATGACCAACTTCATCCCACCCCTGAGACCCCAAGTTTGGCTTAGGTTGTAGAGAAGAAAGTTCTTATTTCACAAATAAAAGGCCTCTGGTCATGTTCCTTCCTCAGGGTGTCTACCACCTCCACATATTCACCATGGTAATTATAACAAAATGGATAAGGAATTCTTTGCAATTGGACAGAAAGTGTCCTACAGCTGTGAGCCTGGCTACAGTCTCATTGGAGCTAATGCTATGCAGTGTACATCCTTGGGAACCTGGAGCCATACAGCCCCCAAATGTGAAGGTGCCTAAAGCTCAATTCCATCTTAAGGAAACTCAGCTGTTTCCTGAATCTTCATGTGCCAGCTCTGTCTCTTTTTTCCTAGTGGACTCATGTGATGCCATTCCAAACCAATTTCTCAACGGCCAGGTGGTGGCTCCTCCTAATCTCCATCCTGGGGCAGAGGTTTCTTTTGTTTGTAATGAGGGGTGAGTGTGAGGTGACAGGGCCTGAATTGAGACTTATGACTTGTAGCTATGCATTACAAAATGTGATCTCTAGGACTGTTACTGTTTTTTCCTCCCTCTAGTCCTTTCCCTCCTGTTCTTTACCATTTATGACTAAGAATCCTGTTATTAATCAAGTCTGGTTAAGAATTCTGTTATTAACCAAACTGGTTTTCTTCAAGTATAGATATTGTGCATGGTCTGTGAAAAGTGGGCATTATGTACTCATCATTAAAAAAGGAAAGTTTGAGGTCCAAAGAGAAGACTTCTCTTATGGAGAATGAATAGATGATGGGGGGTTTAGTGAAAGAGACTCTTTGGGATACGCTTAGGGAAAAAGATCTTTGATATTTACTTCACTCAAAACTGAGGTTTATTCCTTCAAAATTATCAAGAGAATCTTGAAATTTGGAAGCCAAAGAGAAAAAGGAGAATATTTTAAAAATTTGTAATCATTAATATTTTTTTCTGTTTTCACTTGGTCTGATGTCATCACATAGCTGAACTGATTCACAAACAATCTTGGACTTTTCCAGCCTAAAATGCTTTTAAAAACTGAGCTCATTAATACCACGTGTTTGAGAAATGTGATTAATTCCATGCAACTGAGAACTGGTTTCTTCTGGTGATGATTTGCTGCCCCTTATTGTTTAAGGTACCGGTTAAGTGGCAAATCTTCTAGTCAGTGTGTCTCAGAAGGGATGAGAGTACGCTGGAATAATAAGTTTCCCATCTGTGAACGTGAGTAGAAGCAAAAATAAGTATGAATCTCACCTCTTGATTTTTGATGTTATCATGCATATATAAATTATAACATCTTACCTGTATGTGTACTTTGAACATGGACATGGTCATGGACTCTTCAGTATGTTCTAGAGTGCAGACCAAAATGAAAGGTATTCAGTTGGCTACATATTTATTGAATATTCTATTTATGTTAAGATAAATGCTCTGGAAAGTCACCCCACTGTCACTGAGTAGCACATCTGTGTTGAAATGGTTTGGCCATGTGTTCTTATCTCAGTTCCTCTATGGATGAGCAACTCTTAGAGCTAAATGGAAATCAACCAGCAGGTCTCAGGTTGGCACTTTTCCTTCATTCTGAGACTCACTCAGGAAAGGTGTGTATATACCAACCCAGCTATAAAGAATTAACATTAGTACAATAATGTGAAAAATATGAAGTCATTATTCCAAATCCCTGACTACTTCCTGTGGCTTTTTCAAAAGGATGCGGCATCAAAGGATGACAAATGACTGTAGTGAGGCTGCAATATCTTTAGTAGAGGAACAGAATGTCTTTTCACCACTTGTAGCCCCAGTTGTGTGTTTGAAACAGGCATCAAATAATTTCTACATTCCGGGTGTTGTACTTGCTCATTTCAGGCCTTTTATCTCTCTGGGTCCCCATTATAACTTTATGAAGTAGCTTGATTTATATGATACACTAGGAAACTGAGACTTAGAGATGGTAAGACTTGCCCAGAGTCACTCAGCTATTGAATGACAGTGGGGATTTAAAACCAGGTCACCTGAGCCCACATTTCATTAGTCCATGGTGCCCCCACATGTGATTAGCATGTCATTAACATATAATTTCATGTGCTGTTTGTCTTTGTTTTATTAAAATAGATTAGACTCAGAATTATTTAATAAATATGTTTTATTGTCATTGTTTGGTCAAGATGATACCTATAACTTGTATATTGATTTGTTTGCTGAGGATCAAGTGAATGGTAAGAATTTAGGATCTTTGGTATCAGTAGGACTATGAGTAAGAAATAAATTATACACATTTCTAACTCTGTTTTTGATAAAGTGACATATCCTGTATTTGGACATTTAATCTAAATTTGATTCTTTTTGTTGTCATAATTAATTTCACTGCATATTTCTTTTTTTAATTTCCAGGGATTTCTTGTGACCGTCCTCCTGAAATAAAAAATGGTCATACCAGTTATGTTTCTGTCCCTGTACCTATTAATACTGTCGTGAGGTACAAGTGTTTGCCTAACTACCGCCTCATTGGAGAAAGAAGCCTTTTTTGTATTAGTAGAGACCAAGTGAAAGGAACCTGGGATAAAGATGCTCCTATATGTGAATATTTCAACAGGCGGTCTACTTGCCCTGAGCCCATAGTACCAGGGGGACACAAAAATAAAATATCTAGGCCACCATACAGACATGGTGATTCTGTAACATTTACCTGTAACACCAACTTCACCATGAAAGGAAACAAGACTGTTTGGTGCCGAGCAAATACGAAATGGGGACCAACACCACTACCAATTTGTGAGAGTGGTGAGTCAAAAGGAAATTAAACTGAGTTGGGAGGGTGGGTCCTTGTATTTCTGTGCAGGTGAAGTTTTGTATCATTCTGAAGGAACAACAGTGTCGATGTATGAATGGTGGGGATTAGGGTGGAAGCATGGCCAGGGTGAAAAGTATAATTTTCCTGGGGTATTTTTTTTAGTTGTAAAGGATATGAATGTTCATTCAACAATCATCAATAGAACAAATGTTTTAAATTATGATGGGAAAATGTAACTGAACATACCTAATAATTGAATAAGTCTCACAAAATTAGGGGTCAGAGTTTGTTAGCTATGTGAATTATGTGGTTTTAAAGCATATATCTGAGTTAATGTTAAAATGAGAAGAAATGTGAGATCTGTTAGCAAAATTACCACCCCATGGACTCAACACTTATCTATAAATAGCCACTGATACAGGCTGGCAACAATGGTGCCCTGTTCTATGTGACTCTATAAACACTTTCTGAAGTGATCCAGTATTTTTCCAAATTATCTCCCAGTCATAACATTTCAAATCAAATGACTTTACAAGTGAGGTCTCCATTAGTTTTTATGTAGTTGGGCTTATGCTGTTGCTGAAATCTAAATCTGAATTTCAATTATACAGTTACAGGGACTGGCATGTTTGACAAACATTTTACCATCAACATTAGCTATTTATTTACTTAGTGAAGAACAAAATCAATTTTAAATTAACAAGTTAAAAAAACTATTATTGGAAAAATATAATTTTATGTATATATTTATAAATAAATGTATAATCTCAGAGGTACGGATGATCTGAAGATAGTCACAAAATGAGGTGACTGTACAAAAGAATTAAGCCTTTATAAAGATTTAGGTAGATCTTTATGTATTTACATGGAAAGGTCTCATATGTATTAAGCAAAGAAAGAAAGGCATAAATTAAGATATGAGTACACAGAGTGTCACCCAATATGTGTGTGTGTATATATATATATATATATGTATCACATATGGGAGCCCACAAAACTGTTACTAATATCTAGCAGGATAACCCCCTAATAATATGCTACTTTTGGAGAAGAGAATAAGCTTAAATGGAGGTGAGAGTATCTGTGAAAATGGACTATTTTTTGATAATTGATATTTCTCACAAAATAAATCATAGTGACTAAAAATGAAAAACAATGAGCTATTTGTAGTATAAAATGGATATGATTAAATCACACTTGTTTGACCTTTAAAAATGTTGAGTTGAAAATTCATGACTTGTTATCACAGATCATGTGTCATTTATTTGGATTTGTGTACTATGTTAAAATGTATATTGTGAAGGACATTTCATCTAATAGCCTTTTTTTTAAATGTATGTGTGTAAAGATTTCCCCCTGGAGTGTCCACGACTTCCCATGGTCCCCCACGGAAATCACACAGGAAACAATGTTGGCCCCTTTGTCCCTGGATCGTCTGTGAATTACCACTGTGAACCCGGTTACTTGCTTGTTGGTGAAAAAACCATTCGTTGTTTGTCTTCAGGAGACTGGAGTGCTGTCTTTCCAAAATGTGAAGGTACTCTAAATTTACAATCAATTTTCAGAAATTAGGCTATTCTGTTGTGTGCCATGCCTTGTGCATCTTTGGCGTGTTTCCATAGAAGCACGGTGTGCACCTTCAAGACCATTACTCAATGGGAAGATAAAGGAGCCTTCAAGTCTTCAGGTTGGCGTAACTGTGAGCTTTTCCTGTAATGAAGGGTGAGTGTCTGGAGGGTCTATGAGACTTAACCCTTTGGGCTTCTCTGTGCATGGTAACCTGTGAAGGCTCCTCTGTGAGGATCTACGGATAGCTGGTGATGAGGTTGTGACAGATAATGCTAATAAAAGTAAATGCACACAAATCAAATAAACTTACTTGGGTCTTTAAGTAGAGGTTATTGACCCATATCAATGGCTGTCTAATAATTCTGAATGACCACCCTCTGTCTACAGGTATAAATTAGAAGGCCCATCTTTTAGTCAGTGTGTAATTGTTGGACAGAGTGCTGTATGGACCAAGATGCCAGTGTGTAAAGGTAGGTTATACAAACTGTGCTATGCAATTAGTTCCTTGTCTGAGGCTCAGGAGGACACTGAATTCTTTTGACAAAAAGTTTCTAATTAGAGAGCAGGTATTTCTCCTAGACATCTCTAAGGGTTATAACTGAAGCATTCACTTACCTCTTTATTCTCTGTTTACTCAAGTAAGGCAGGGTTCCTAGGCTTTTCTTTCTCTGAAAGCTATGTAGACTTGTAATCTGGGCCATGTATATAAAGGAGATAATATACTCAGTAAAAGAAATCGAAGGACCAGAAGAAATTCTGGAATAGATCATTTTTTTTTAAATTATATTCTTACAGCTGCCTTGATTGTTTATTGAAACTCAAGTGTCCTAGGTCTGGGAACATAGGAGGTAAGACTGGCATCAAGTTTGTGGCTTTGTTTGCAGCTCAGCTGCAATCTTGTGATTTCTCTGTGTAATTTCTCTAGAAATTCTTTGCCCACCACCTCCTTCTATTCTCAATGGAAGACATACAGGCAACCCTTCAATGAACATTCCATATGGGAGCACAGTCACTTACACCTGTGACCCGGGCCCAGAGGAAGGAGTGGACTTCATCCTGACTGGGGAGAGCACGATCCGTTGTACCAATGATAGTCAGCAGACTGGGACCTGGAGTGGCCCTGCCCCACGCTGCAAACTTTCTATTTCTGGGATTCGCTGCCCACCTCCTCAGATCCTTAGTGGCCAAATACTGTCTGGGCAGAAAGATCAATATTCATATAACAACACTGTGGTATTTGCTTGCTCATTTGGCTTCACCTTGAAAGGTAGGAAGGAAATACGATGTAATGGCCAAGGCATCTGGGAGCCATCCCCACCAGTCTGTGAAAAGGGTGAGTGTTCCAATACCAACCAAAGGTGCTACTGACTGATCCCTTCAAACAATTAAAGGAATGGGTTGTGGACTTAGGCAGGGCCTTTTCTAGTTTCTAGTCCCCTCAAGTTTACTAAATACTACAGTGTTTATGAATTATGTAGAAGGCTTTTTTTAACACTGCCCCAGTGTTGGTTCATTTTGTGGAAGTATCCTTGGGAAAATAACATTAGGGAACACTAAGTTGCTCATTTCTTTAGGGAATAAAAATGCTTGTTTATCCTAACACTGGTGTCTTAGAAGGGAAGTCAGCAAAGCCCCCACCCCATGGAAACATTAAAATCTGTCCTGAAAGCATACAAGGTGATTCCTTAAGAAAGAAAGAAACAAAAGAGAAGGTAAAGCACTGAGTGGGAATTGAACAAAACCTGCAGCAGCCTAAGAGCAGAAAAGAGGAAAAGATCAGAACCACTGATCTAAAATTACCCCAAATGGGTTGCAACATACCTTCTGTATCATACAACTACTGCCAGAGGGAAATTATTGCATTACTGTAAATTTCTTTGGTTATTTCCTCCTGTTGCTGTTGTTTATGTATGAAAATTTTCCTTCCTTCCCTCTAGAGTGTCAAGCTCCTCCTAAAATCCTCAACGGGCACAAGGAAGATGGACACAGAATCCTCTTCAAACCTGGAACATCTATAAAATATAGATGTGACCCTGGCTATGTGCTGGTGGGAGAAGAATCCATACTTTGTACCTCTGTGGGGGTGTGGACACCCACTGCCCCCAAGTGCAAAGGTGCCAGGCTTTACATGCTTGTGTTTTATGATTTTGAGATTACCTTGAGTTGATTTCTCATTCTAGTCTCTTTTTTCTTAGTGGCAGAGTGTGAACCTATAGGAAAACATCTCTATAGAAAACCCCAGGCTCAATTTATTAGACCAGATGTTAATTCTTCTTGCGACGAAGGGTGAGTGAGTGCTGGCTCACCTGAACTAGGGCTGGCTTATCAGTGCACACTGCAAGCTCTGTGTAAGAGTTTTCTGCAAAGACCTGTCTCTGTCATGTGTTCATGGAAATGCTGATTGTGTTATTTTTCCATGTGTGGGAACTATGGCAATGGCTGATGGAGCTGATGCTGGCTACATTTTTGTTCCTATTGCTTCTTGTCCTGAATGTGGTGAATCTGCTATAGCGCCAATAGCTCTTGCTTAGCTTAGTGGTCACTAGATGACAAAATGACATGACTCTACCTCTAGGTACCGGTTAGGTGAGAGTGTTTATCAGCTTTGTCAAGGCATGATTCCTTGGTTTATGGAGATTCGTCTTTGTAAAGGTGAGTAGCATATATAACAGAGAAATTAAAATAATGTGAGACCTATGCATGCCCTGGGAGATTTCTGTTTTAGGCTATGTTTTGGGAATAAGAATATTAAACTCTGTTCCATTAACTTTGTCAAGTTTTGCTGTCTCTCCACTGTGACCTCTCTCTACTTCAAAGCATAGCAACCACTTAATTTAAATGTATTCAGTTGCTGCTCCTCTTTTGTGATTTAAGAGTATAAGATGATGAAAGCAGTGAGTGTATGAGTCACCATGCTTAATTTGAGGTACACTGTAGTTTAGTGGAGAAAAAGGAGATTGGTATGGGATCTGATCTCTTATTCTGTATCTACTGCATTGTATGATCTTGGTGATTTATATAACTTCTCTGAAACTTTAGCCCCTCATCTGTAAAGTCAGCTCAAGAATGCAGACTTCAAAGTTATTATAATTAAGTGGTAGTATCCCTACTTTGTAAATGAGAATATTGCCTGTCAAAAAGTAAATGCTCAATCAACAATATTCTTGACTAAACTATCATATCACCTCAACACAAAGATGGCACTCCAAATATACTTAACTCTATATGCTCCTGTGCCTTTTATTCACCTATTGTTTATTAAAAACCAAAATTTTAATTACTAATTTCCTACTGGTCTTGACTGCCTTACAATGTGATATTGATGTACATGTTCATTTTTAACAAAGATTTCCATTACAGAAGTCCTTTCTATGAACCCTGTTTAAGCTGAATTTTACACATCTAATGAGCTTTGACATAACTCATATAAAAATTCACCTGTATCCTCCAGGAAATGTGATAACAGTGGTTTCATAACCAGGTCCGTGTCTCTTCTTTGGTTTCTAATACTGAAACAGATTTATTTAGTCACTTCTCATCCATCCAGAAATCACCTGTCCACCGCCCCCTGTTACCTACAATGGGAGTCACACAGGCAGTTCCTCAGAAGACATGCTGTATGGAACCACAGTCACTTATACATGTAACCCTGGGCCTGAGAAAGGAGTAGAATTCAGCCTCATTGGAGAAAACACCATCCACTGTATAAGCAACAGTGAAGAGAGAGGCATCTGGAGTGGCCCTGCTCCTCTGTGTAAACTTTCCCTCCCTGCTGTTTGGTGCTCATATGCCAGCATTGCAAATGGACACAAGATATCTGGCAAGGAAGCCCCATATTTCTACAATGACAGTGTGACATACGAGTGTGATGATGGATTTACTTTGAAGGGCAGCAGTCAGATTCGCTGCAAAGCCAATAACACCTGGGATCCTGAAATACCCATGTGTGAAAAAGGTAAAACCAAACAGAGAAAAATAGGAGGTATTTACTTAATTTTCTTATCTCCCACCCAAAACTAGAGTCATGGGAAAAGTCAGTGGGGCACAAATTACTCTCCTGTTTCTTCCATCTGTAACAGAATGTTCCATGTGTGTTTTATATGTTCTTCATGTAAATACCTCTTGTATCTAGAGGATATTCAGGGTAGATAATGACAGGTCCTGATTAAAGGTGTCTTAGTTCTTTCAAAAGTACAGAAAGCATTTAGTATTTAATTAGAGCTTTGTGATCCTTGGCTTAAATGTTTAAGATTGTCTATTGTCAAATTTTGTACGCTTAATGTTCCAGAACACAAATTCCTTTTTGTTGGTATTTATGTGGAGAGTTTTCTCTTCAGACTGCCAGCCGCCTTCTGGGCTCCTCCATGGTCAGCACACAGGTGGAAACAGGGTCCTCTTTGTCTCTGGGATGACTGTAGACTACACCTGTGACCCTGGCTACTTGCTTGTGGGCAACAAATCCATTCAGTGTATGTCTTCAGGAAATTGGAGTCCTTCTGCCCCTCGGTGTGAAGGTACTTTCAGTTCCAGAGCTGCCTTTCTCTTTGGTCCCAGGCATGTATAAGTAATTCCAACCTTCTTCCTCTAGAGGCACCATGTCAGCCTGTGGGAGAAGATGTTCAAGAGCTTCCAGGTGATTTCCCTGTGATTCCAGTTAATACATCCTGTCATGACGGGTGAGTATGAGATGGCCCATTCAGAGAGGCTCTCCACTTGGTTTTGTGCAGTACTCCTACCCTCAGCTTGTCCTGATGACTCTCTTTAGAGGTTACTCATTGTCACACAATGTCTCACACAGGGAATGTGAGGTTCCAAAGGTCCAACTAACATCTCTGACTTTTTAGTTCTTTCTTGACCTAGAAATGGCTTTGCTGTGAGCAACTCTAAATCTAATAGTTTTCTTACTTGGAGGGTCTAGTGTTTTAATTTCTCTTTACCAAAATTCATGTTTAAGAGTGCCTCTGCATTTGTGTTGTGAGGGGGCTAGGTTTCAGAGATGTGACATTGAGAAGAAGAAATGTATTATAATCTCTCTCTAGGTACCAGCTGACTGGACATTCTTATCGGAAGTGTCAAGATGGTGAGAATGGGGTTTGGTTCCAAAAGATTCCACACTGTAAAGGTAAGACAGCACTTAAATTTGTCACTGGGGTAGTAAGGCATTCAAGCGTCAGGCCATTGAGGAACTACCTCAACAGTCTTTGGGTTCTATCTCAGTGTACCTCAGATAAGAAATATCTTTCACTGTTTGGTTATCACTGTGTCACTGGGAAGCAAAGCTGTCAAGTAGGAGCTGAGTATTTGGCATACATCTCCTAAATTATATTTATATGCTATGGATATAAATTATATATAAATATATATTTCTAATTCATGGTAATATAACTGTGTTTCTTTTACTCTTATTACTACTGGATTTTTAAATTTTTTAGAATGAATACATATTATTTCTATAATCAAAATATTTATAAACTGTTTGAAAGAACACATTGTAAATCTAAATCATATTACAGTTATGTGCTATACACACAGTTGCAAATCTTCATTTGTATCTGAATGATGACTGTTTACCTTGGTGTACTTGCTAAAGCAGAACTTCCTGAATCTCTTCTGCAGCTATTCACTGCCCACCTCCACCAGTGACTGACAATGGGAGGCACACCGGTGTGATGGCAGAACACTTTCTGTATGGAACTGAAATCTCTTATGAATGTGACCAAGGATTCTCTCTTCTGGGAGAGAAAACTATACGATGCATAAGTGATTCTAAAGGACATGGATCTTGGAATAGACCACCCCCACAGTGCTTAAAACCTCATCCTGTGACCCATTGCTCTAACCCAGAAGTCAAACATGGATACATACTTAATAAAACTCACTCATCATATTCCCACAATGACATTGTGTATGTTGCCTGCAACCCTGGCTTCATCATAAATGGCAGTGAGCTGATTAAGTGTCATACCAATAACAAATGGGTGCCAGGTGTACCAACTTGTATCAAAATGGGTAAGTTATTTTAGGATATTAACTATAGGATGGTGCTCAATATAAGGACAAAGATTTTTAAATCTGCACTTGCTTGCTATTTGACTTAAAGAAAAGCATGTAAAAGCTTGCTTAAGAAGATACCTGTCTTATCTTCTCACCCAATTCTTTTTTCTTCTCTTTATAAGTGGATTGAGCTAAATATATGAAAGGACAATGGTTAATTGGTAAATGGTTATTGTCTACAAAATTTATTTTGTTACTAAATTAGAATGATAAGAACATACCTACCATTGAGGGGGGTGGTCAAAGGTGTGGCTTGATAATTGGATATTTAAGGCTGTAAGACCAGCCAGAAAGAGAACTTTGCATATTCTGAGGAGTGAAGCTGGCCTTTGGACTCTTTGAATTCTCTCTCTTGTAATTGTAGTTATCATTTGTCTGTTTTATTTCTGTCAGTGACTAGGTGACTATGTACAATAGAGGGTGGCAATTAGTGACCCAAGAACTGAATTTAAGTCACCAGAATGGTTCTCTTTGGCCAACATAATATTCTCATTTTAAGTGAAGCACATGTTTACAGCTCAAGATAAATGTTGAACCTCTGATTTATTAAGGGTTCCCTCTGCTCACCTGCCAGGCAGCAGTTGCTTGAATTGGCCTTTGGCTGTCATTTTTAGAAGGGCAGGTTCTTTCTTCTTTGTGGTCTCTAAAGGGGAAAGTGAAGACTACTATTGGTTGATAGATTACAATTGTGGGCTGCAGCCATAGGTGTTTCATTATCTTACTTTTGACATTTTTCTTCAGATTGTGTACAACATACATAGACAGTGCAAATCTCTGTCCAGTGCTGCTTGGTTTGGGTGGAAGGGATATGACTAGATACCAATTAGTTGGCTTGTTGCCTGCCCTCTTTCTGTATGGCCATCACTCACAGAAAGTGTTGGCTATGTGTTCCTCTGCACTAAACTAAAGACCCTTTTTATTGGTGTCTAAGCCCTCATAGGATGTCAACCTCCATTTAAGATCCCCAATGGGAATCACACTGGTGGAGATACAGCTCGATTTTATGCTGGAAGGTCAGTCCTGTACAGCTGTGATGAAGGCTACCTGCTGGTGGGAGACGCACGTCTTTATTGCACACGTGAGGGAACATGGAGTCACCCTGCCCCTTTTTGTAAAGGTGCATTATCTACTTAATATTTTAAATTTGTTCTGAATAGATATATTTAGTTAGGAACTTTCAATTTAGAAGCAGCAAATAAATGTTTAATTAGATTATTTAATTAAGTGCATTTTAATTAGATTAATATATTAATTAACCTAACTACCACAAAATAAGAAAAATGACTGTGTGTGTAGTTTATTGGATGAGTGATCAATTATGTAATCCTTTAAATATAGAAAGTTGAAATGTTTATATAAATTAAACAACCAAAGTGTATTACACTGTGATAACAATTATGGTAAGTATGCATCTGACAAAACACTGATGAAAAAGTACAGTGACATTTTTCAGTGTATTTCCTTTGTGTGATGATGGAATTATGAGTATATATTTTTTATAACAGCTTCAGAATGTCATTTCATTAGGCACATAGAATATGAGGAGTGAGTTAAAATGAGGGGGGACCCAAAAAACCTAGACCTTATTTATTAAAAAATTGTGTATTTATTTTTACTTGTTTAAACTTCACTCACCTTCAAAGCACTCTCCATTTGATGCAGTACACCTATTGAGACATTTTTTCCACTACTCAAAACAGTTTTTGAACTCATCAATTTGAGTGCCTTTTAGTGCTTTTATTTTTTGTTTCACCTCTTCCACATTGGCAAAATGTTTCTCTTTGAGGACTTTTTTCAGCCAGGGAAACAAAAAATAGTCACTCGAGGTGAGATCAGGTGAATAGGGAGGGTGAGGTATGGGGGTCATGCCATTTTTGGACAAAAACTGCTGACTACTCAGCGATGTGTGGGCAGGTACACCTGTAAATCACCCATCATGAAATGGGCAAATGTGTTGAAAGAGTTAAAAAAATTCAGAGGCTGCCCTGGCTGGCATAGCTCAGTGGATTGAGCACGGGCTGCAAACCAAAAGTGTCGCATGTTCGATTCCCAGTCAGGGCACATGCCTTCGTTGCAGGCCATGACCCCCAGCAACCACACATTGATGTCTCTCTCTCTCTCTCTCTCTCTCTCTCTCTCTCTCTCTCTCTCTCTGTCTCTTTTTCTCTCTCTTTCTCCCTCCCTTCCCTCTCTAAAAATAAATAAATAAAATCTTTAAAAAAAAATTCAGAGGCTGAACGTAGCCTCTCATAACAACATCAGCTGGTACACTGATACAGATGGGTTCCTAGAACACTCACATAGTAGGGGAAGCCTGTACTACAAGGGGTCCATTCTCCAGAAGATAATTACAACTTTGGGATCCCTCCTCATGTACATTTGGTGATCACTTTTTCCTGTGTGTCTAACACTGTACACAGAATTTTGAGTGCATTGTCATTTAGCCTTTTTGAGAACCATATGAAGTTGGTACGATTTTTATTTTTATATTAGAGATTAAGTCTCAGTAGAATGAAGAGATTTGTAACTTTTCCAAAGTCACACATTAGGAAGGCCTAGTACCAGGAATCAAATCCAAAAATCTCCCAGTATTGACCCCTACACTGAAGAGATGAAAGAAAAAAGGAGGAAGCATGTACATGTATGAATTGGAGAGTAAGAGTTGACAGTAATAAAACAGTAATTCAGAATTCCTACCCATTTAGCCCTCACAATTTCCCTGACAAGTCATTAAAATTAACCAGCTATTAGTTTAGAAACTAAATCACAAGGAAGGAAAGTAATCCTGGTTTAAATTACGTAGAGGTTATTGAGATAGATGGCTGACACTGAAAGACTCTACCTATGTTATCTTTGTTTTTCAGTCAGACTTTACTTACTGAGATGAACTAAGTTGGTTTTGTAAAACTTTTCATTAGGGGCATAATCTACTTCATTGCTAAATTCGATTTCTTTGATTTCAGAGGTAAACTGTAGCTTCCCAGAGTATATGAATGGAATGCAGAAGGGGCTGGAGTCTGGGAAAAAGTATCAGTATGGTGCAATTGTTACTTTGGAGTGTGAAGAAGGGTATACCCTGGAAGGCAGTCCCCAGAGCCAGTGCCAGGAGGATCATGGATGGAACCCTCCCCTGGCTGTTTGCAGATCACAAGGTAAGTATAAGGGACTTTGCTGGCACTTGTCTCACTGGAGGGAAGTGACTGAGGGATACCCCTCAATGTTAGGGACTCCTGGGTTTTAAGTTGAACTAGGCCTGTAACCGGTGGTACAGTAATAGACAAAATTTTAGTTGGTTGTGTATTCTAGAAAAAGCAAAGCTTTCTGAGGATGAGGGAAGTAAAGAAAGAAAGAGGAACACTTACTTAAAGGGTACAAAACTCACGACCTTCCATTTTGTAAGGGGCTGCTGCTGAGACTTCCCTTGTTGCTGTCTTGATTTATAAGGGCTTACCAATTTGACAGGGACCTCAAAAAATATGTTAACAAACTAGTCACAGCAGTTAATAATTGCATTCCAACCTGAGAAATCCCTTGACTATATTGTTTTTTTAGTTAGTGAACGACCCCAACTTACTTAATTAAAAAAGTGAAAACTCAACAAGTTCAATGAGTTGCAATATAAGAAATGAGGAAAGAGTGGGTAAACCTAAGGTTCCAATTCATCCTTTAAAGTAGACTTAGAGAGAGAGGAATGTTAACCTAGAGAGAATGCTAACTTCGGGAGAGTGCTGTGGGACTTTGGGCTATATTGATTCATGCAACTAGATTAATATGTTCACAATTTTGGATTTTCCTTAGGCTCACTTGCTCCTCTTCTTAGTGGTAAGTTTTCTTAAATAATTAAGAATCATTTTAATGATTTATAAAAAAATTATATAAAATTTGAGGTCTTACATTCTGCCTGTTACCATTGGTTCTCTTCAACTCATAAGAAATTATCTTTTTTTGGCATTTTAAGGAAATTTTAATGTGCCCTTCACTTTGAAAACTGTCACTTTTGGATAGAATTGAATAAATAATTTCAATATCCAGCTATTCCCAGTTTTTAAGTTGAAAGTTTGGTCTATATTTACTCTTGGTCTTTTGCATGATCTGGCACTATCAAAATATGCTGGCTTATTCTACAACAGAAAATATTTTCACAACTGAGAATTAAATGTTGTCATGCAAAGTCATAGGATCCTAATGTCCCCAGCTCCTAACTTTACCTCAGTGACAAGAATATTACTAGTAAAATGGAAAGGGACAGAGAAGCCCAACAGAACTTGACTGGAACCCTGGGGTCAAATGCTTGATGCTTTAGATAAACAGTGGAATGTATTGTATCAGAAAAACCGTAATTAGGCCAAGTATGATTATTTAGGAATTCTATATTTATATGGCGAGGAAATGGTAAGTATGAAAGTAGCATGCCATATTCTCCTTCACTAGGAATAATCTCCATAGTCACTTCAAAACTTTATAGGTAACATTTTCCTGCCATTTGATACATGCTGTTTTGTTTTCTAGGTCTTTCTGCAGGTTTTGTGATTCTTATCTGCTTGATGTGTGTCGTCTTACACATGATATTAAAATACAGAGTACAGTAAGTTCAATGTATGCTTAACCAAAATTCACTACAGGTTTCAGCTTCTTGCCTGAAACTAAACACAGAAGCACAAGTTACAAGAAAGGAATATAGTAATGTGAGAACTGGAATACAATGTCTTATGCTATGTATAGGAAGCCCTATCTGTAAGATCTTAAAAGATATTGAACATTTATTTCAATGGCTTATAATCAAATGATACATTATAAAAATTCTAGAAAACAGAAAGAGAAAATCCTAGAGGTAACAACTATAGATATTTTGGTATATTCCTATCTGATCTTTTTCTCATACTCTTTTTCTCTTTGCTCTTCTTAAACTAAAATTACCAAAATTTACTTTGGTAGTATAGTCCCTCTGCCTAATATTTTTTACTTTGCACATTTACATTCTTTGTATCTTTACATCATGCTTTCTTTTTTATGAAATAATAGTACATTGTTCTATTATGTGTATTTCTGCATTGTGGAAATGTAGGTGGTTTCCACATTGATCTTAATAATAAAGATATGAGGAATACCTTTTAATAAATTTCACATGTACTTATTTCAAGTGCTTATATTTCTGGAGTTAGTACGGATAAATGTATGATGTTTTAAGATATTTGATAAATATTGCAAGTGATTTTCCAGAAAGTTTGTTCTAACTTGACCAAATATCAAATGATTAATATATTTGTGTTTGTTGTATTTGTGTATGTATTTCTGTATGTTGTGCTTCTGGACTCCTTTTTCTGCTTTATTGATATGTCCATTTTATCAAAACCACTTTGTGTTGCCCTAACCATATTGGCGGCATCATCCTACAAACCCCAAAAGTTACCGGTTTGATTCCCAGTCATGGCATATGCTTGAGTTATGGGGATCTGTGCTTTGCCCTGTCAGGCACTTACAGAAAGCAGAAGGCAGAAGGCAATCAATTGATATTTTTCTCTCACATCGATATTTCTTTCCCTCTTATTCTCCCTCCCTTCCTGTCTCTCTACAGTAAAATTTTTAAAGAAAAAAAAGCTACTTTGTATTTAATAAGTATGGCTTTCTACTATTCTACTCTTTGGTTGGACAGGAATCCCCTCACTGTATATATTTTTTAAGAATATTTTCCTCTATTGTCTTATGTTTGTTCTTTCAGGTAACTTTTTGATCATTTGTCATTTTCTAAAAACATATATGATGTGATTTCATTTATATGTATAGATTATTTTGTAAGAAATTTATCTTTTCTGTAAGGTCTTCCTATTCAGAAACGTACTAGGCCTTTTTTCTTTTCAGGTAATCATTCACTCAGTTGTTGTTTTCATAACTACTTAAGTATATTACTAGGTTTCTATGTTTTGTTATGTATTACTATACAGTATTTAGACATACCAGTACTGGCTTTTGATTTATTAATTTTTAATACATTTGAATCTATAATGTTGCCAAAGTATGTCATGTAACGTTTGGTGAGGATGCAAAACAAATAATCAGTATTTGAGATTTTTGATCAGAAAAATTTCCACATTGAAGAAGTTTTTTGTTCTTGTTGTTGTTGTTGCTTCTCTGTCTTTTGGCAAAATCAAGTGAAGGAGCTGTTTTAGGTGAGATTTAAGAGAGTGTAGACAAAAATGGAAAGTTCATACAGGCAGAAGGAGCCATTTGAGTAAAGACCCAGAGGCTCATCATTCTACCATTTACTCTGAGAACAAATAAACAGTTTGACGCGACTGGGAAATAGGTGAAGGTGGCACATGTTAAGGTGGAGGCAATGGAATAAAAGTCCTATTTGACACATAAGTCTGGTGGGAATTACAGGATATTCTGGCATGTGCAAAGGATATATTATTAGCAAATGACACCATCATGTATCAGTCTTGGAATGTTCTTTGTGCATAAGTTCTTATGTACTATACATGACTGTTAGCGAAGATAATCAGATGAAGTCTTACTAAGTCTCAAATTCCAGTGGAATGGCCAGGTCACATCACCCCAAACATATCACTCACAAACTCCAGCAAAAGTTTCTTTAATATACCAAGTGATCTGGATCTTTTATTTAGCATACAACCAGTACCATGTGATTACATTGTTCACAGTTGTATGTCTAGTCTAGATATCAGACAAAAAGGGACTACATTGAAACTATGCAATGATAGCATCGATGAACCTGAGTAGTTTGTTGTAAGCCTGGGAGGGCCCAAGCAGGACAGGCCTGGCAAGGGTCTACAATTGGAATGTGCTTCAGACCATTGTGTTTGCCAGAGAATGATGCTTTGAGTGACTTCAGGAGAGAGGGGATTCTTTGATCAAATAAGATGGAAAAATACTGCATACTATATTTTTCTCATGGAGATTCACAATCACCATGAGAATAAAGTCCTGTAATAAAGAAGCTAGTTAATGTTTTTTAAACTGGAATTTCCCAAACTAATTTGACTGCACAACCTTTTTTTTCTCACATAATGCTTTTAACATCCCTTGGAACTGACCTACATTTAATAGACAATTTGGGAATCTAGAAAGGTGGTCAGGAGCTAAATCATCAAAAGCCTGCAGGCTGTAACAGGGAGTTGTGGTTTATTTTATAGGAATTTAAGCAAGGAAAAAATATGTTCAGATTTGCATTTTCATAAAGTAGCAGGATTGAGTCATCAGCCAAAGCAGCAGTGGCAGGGATCAAGAAGATAGAACAGATGTAAGAGAAATCTTCACTGTTAAGACTACAAGATTCCCAGAACTGTGTATCCTTTTGAATGTAAGGAAAGGGGGGCACAGAGACTGAGTCAAGAAGAGGTCACTGGGTGGTCCTAGTGTTAGACCAAAAAGGGAGAGGGACAGGTTTGTGGGGGAAGTTGATGCGTTCAGTTCTGACCATGCCACTTTGTGGCACCTGTGATGTAGGGCTCAAGAGAGGGGCCTGGACTTGGGTAGGTGACATTTAACTCAAAGATGAAGCTTTGGGACGAGAAAGAACATCAAAGATAAAAATAGGGATGAAACCAATTTCAGAAGGACTGTAATGTTTAAAAGGCAAGAGGGGAAGGAACAGTCATAGGTAGGAAGAAAGTTAGGAGAGAGTACTTTCACAGAATTGAAGAGAGAAAAGGGTCTCAAGAAAAAAAAATAGGATGTCATTTGCATGACTTTCCTCACAGGAAGTTAAGAGATAATTTTAGCCAAGAGTAATTGCAAATTTAAATAAATAGAAAATGTGGTCTCTATCTCTTTCCTTCATTCTCCTTCCTAAGCTTGCTATCAGGGCATAGCATGTGTAAGGGAATTTTCAACCTTTGGAAATGCCTACAAACTCAAATAATTCGTAGTGTTCCAGTCTGATTATTATTAATTTTATTAGCATAATTATAGCACATGCTATTATTTAAGTGTCTCAACTGATATGAACCAAATTCAATTTATTTTTTGAAAGTTGATATAGACATTTGAGCTGCCTTGAATACTTCTTGTAAATGAGATGAATAATCATTTTGAAATGGATGGAGAGCGGGATTATAGCTGGGGTGGGGGGAGGGGAGGTTGGGGGTGGACAATTGAGCAAAAAGCAAAAAGACTCATGGACATGGACAGCAGTGTGGTGATGCTGGGGACTATGGGTCATAAGGGGACTAAATGGTAATAAAAAATAAAAACAAAAAATTTAAAAAATTAAAAATTAAAATGATGTCTTTCATGAGCATGGACAATGGTGTGGGGATTGACTGAGAGAGTTGGGACATGTGCTTGGTGGAGGGGGACAAAGGTGGAAAATTAAGACAACTATAATAGCATTAAAATTAAAATATTTAAATAAAAAAATAAAAAATATTCAATAAAATGGATGCCCTGTAACAAAACTAAATGTTTATAAAAATCACCTAAACATTTGAAGGGGAAACTATGCTATTATTTTCTAGGTCTTTAATATATTTTGATAAAATATAAATATCACATTGACCTAAAATTACCATTTCATAATATTCTTAATGGATCTTCCTATACGCTGTCTCTTAAATATGGTAGTGAGAGGCATGCTGTAAATAACCTTAGAAGTAATTTTTCTTTCCCAGTAATTATGTAATACTTTATGTAATACTTTCTGAGTTCTACATGGTATTATGATCACATTTCTTGCCCTTTGCTAATTTCAGCAAAGTGGTTTTAGAAGCACCAGAAAGTATATGTGCTTTCAAAGACAAAAAGTAAAAATGTCCTCAAAAATCATATAAAACTTTAGTGCTGTATGATCATGTAAGGATTTTGAATTAAGTATCAAATATAAAACCTTTCTTTTAAATTAGAAAGATTATGTCCCAAAAAGGTAAACCTATAATCATATCCTAAAAAAAAGACTAATTTTTTTCCAAACTGGTGGTTATAGTTATTAGTAATTAAAAGTCCTGGTTCTCATAGAAAGCTGCCTAGTCTCAACTTTTGACTTGGACACTTGGCAACCTAGTAAGTTATTTATTTTTATGGGCCTTTCCCCCCAAAATGGGGGTTTTAGTGATTATTTTATAAGCTATTTAGGACAATGGAATCATTGGAATGATTCCATTGGAATCATTGGAATCATCCATGACACGTACTTACCATGTATTGGGAATCATGGAAAGAAGACAACTGTTACATGTTTATAGCAATCATAGTGAATAAGTAAAAATTTTACTTTTCTTTCTTCTTTCATTTAGCAATTATTATACAAATAAAAGCCCTACAAAAGAAGATCTTCATTTAGAAACGCGAGAAGTCTATTCTATTGATCCATACAACCCAGCAAGCTAACCAGAAGATAAACTGGTATCTAATGAAAATAAAATATTTTTATTAATTTCTATGTCAAAATGTCCTTCAAATTCTATTTATCAGTAAGCATAGTACTAAGTATGTATGGTTCTATTGCACAATTTTAAAATAATCTTGCATAGAAATTGTTACTTAGGTCATACTGCCAATTAATGTTCCTGTTATTTTTTATTCACTTAGCCATTCAACAAATACTTGAATAAATAACAAAATGATTGAGAATATTATCAATAAGAAGATGGTATTATGAAAACAAAAAGAAAACAGGAAAAGGGGATAGGTAGGGCAAGGTGGTTAAAGAGGAACTTCTTACTGAGAAAATGGCATTTGAGCAAAGACTAGAGTGAAGTAAGGAGCCATCCATGTGGGAGAAGAACATTCCAGGAAGAAAGATCAGTAAGGGCAAAGATCATAATGTGTTATGTGCATGCTGTGGCCAGAATGGCTTAGTATGTACTAACTAAGGAACAAAGTGATAGAGATGAACTCAGAGAGGTAAGGGAAGGAGGGTAAGGATGAATGATCATGTAGAGTGTGCTAGGTCATTCAGTGAATTTGGGGTTTATTTTGAGATGGGAACCATTGGAAGTGTTAAGCAGAGAAGCAAATTATCATTGTAACTGCTGTGTTAAGAACAGAGTGTAGGAAGCCAAGGGCAGGATGATGGGGAATCAGTGAGGACTCTACCACAATAATGCAGGCAGTGAGTGGCTACCACCAAGCTGGTGAGAAGAGGTCAAGTTCTGCATGCACTTTCAGGATTGTGACAGTAGGATTTGTTGCCAGTTTGTGTCAGAATATGAAAGAAAAGGAGGAATCAATAACAATACAAGTGTATTTTGGCCTGACAAAGTGGAAATATAGAACTGCCATCAATTAAAATGCCAGAGAATTTGAAAGCAGGATTTGCAAGATAAACCAGGAGTTCCACTTTGAAGATGTTAAGTATGAAATATCAAATAGACATCCAAGTAGAAGTGCCAGAAAGGCAGCTGGATATACAAAATAGGTCCAGGCTCAAGATGCAAATTTGGGCCCTGACAGTGTATGGATTTACATATGAACAAGATCAACTAAGATCCCCAAGGGTGAGAAGGAGGCTAGGGAAGAAAAAAGGTCCAAGGGCTGAGCCTTGGATCCTCCAACATTAGGAGTCACGGATTAAGAAGGAACCAACAAAGAAGCCAAGAATCCTTGATACAAGAGGAAACCACCTGAGTGTGGTAGTCTAGAAGTCATATGAATAAAGAACTGCAAGGAGGTAACTCTGTCAAATGCTGCTGATAGATCAAGAAAATGAGTAGTGAAACTGCCCATTGCATTGAGCTGTACAACACTTGTTGGTAAACTTGACAAGAACTGTTTTGGTGGAGAGGAAGGAAGCAAGACCTTGACTGAAGTGAACTTAAGAGAAAATGAAAGAAAAATTGGAGACATCAATTAAGACAACTCTTTCAAGGAGTTGTTCTGGGTGGAAGAGCAGATAAGTACAGTGATGACAAGAATAAGAAAGAAACCAAGAGATATACTTTTAAGAATGGAGAAATGGCAGCTGCACTGCTATTCCTGTGTGCTGCTGCGAATGATCTAGGAGAAAGTGGGAAAATGATGGCAAAAAAGGGCAGAATTGCTGGAGCAATGTCTGGGTCAGCTAGAAGGAACAGTATCTAGGGCACAAGCAGGGTGGTGTAGACCTCAGACAGGAGCATGGCCTTAGGAACAGGAGGGAAAGCACAACATATGGGTGCAGATGAAGGCAGGTGGGGAGGTGTGATGGTGAATGCATGTGTGGAAGTTCTCTTCTGATGATTCTGTTTTCCCACTGACTAGAAAGTAAAATGATCAGCTGAGAAGAAGACTGAGAAAGGAGATGATAGAGATTTAAGGAGTAAGGCAAAGGCATTAAGTAGCCACCCTGCATTGGCAGGCAACAGCAAGGGTCCCCCTGAGGTTTCCAGGAGTAAATGGGAGTGAACAGTTGAAGGTTTATTGTGTGCAGGCATTACACTGACAGTCTCTCATGCCTTACCTTGTTTAGCCCTGATACATCACTGAAAGTTGAGTATTGTCCCAAGATAATACCAAGGTGAGCCGATAATATCTGAGATGAGAAAGCCAGGGCTAAATGTTTCTCTTGATCATGGTTTTGGGGTCAGTAATTGACAAAAGTAGAATCCAAGTTCAAATCTGACTTCAAACTGCTTTCTTTTACATAATCTATAAAATACAGATATCATCTCTGACCTCTTGTAACTTTAATAGTAAAATTAAAAATAGGACACATACATATCATAGTGTAAGAATACATTGAGTAAACAAGATACAGAAAAACAGCTCTGGCAGTGGAGCAAGAAAAGGTAACTTGCTATGGGAGAGTCAGAACAAAAGGGTTGAGAATAGCATCAGGCCATGGCAGAGTGATCTCTAAATTGAAAGTCATGGGGATTCAAAGTAAAGCTATAACAGAAACATTAGTTAAATGAATATTTGAATAAGTGAGAATGAGACTATTGCTTCAGTTCTTCCTCACTTTTATTCATATTTATCAATATAAAATTTAAGTTATTTGTTTTATATCATGTTATCTGAAGAAAGACCTCTTAATAGAATGATGTCTTCTTATAGGCTTGATGCTTCATTGGTTGTAGCACTTATAATTAGTATATGCAGAGAATGTTACCACTCCCATTATTTAAAGTTTGATTTGTACCAATGTTATTTGTGCTGCTACTTAAATACAAATTATCTATTTCAGTGTGCCTTCTTGCTTGGAATCCAACTGAATGTGGATTGGAAAGAAAGCATTTGAACATCAGCAAGTAATGAGTACAATATGAATGAAACAATTTCATAAGCTATTTCTTCCTATTTGCACTTATTTTGAAGCAAAACAAAGAAAGTTTGCTTGATGGTAAAGATGGGAGCCTGGTTTCACTGCCACCTGCTCTTCAAGGTGTTTTTGAAGCATCATCTGTGATGTGCCTGGAGCCAGGCTGGGGCTGTAATCAATTATGTAGCTCTGAAAGTGTCACCGTTTTAAGGAAGGCACTAAAATGAACTGTCCTTCTATGTACACTCTTCTTTTTGTAATTAGCATGCTTACTGTTACCATATACTTTTGGTTATGGTGTGGTTTTAATTTCCTGTGGCTAGTATGGGCATACCTTTGTTGGGAAGTCTGATTTTATTTTAATATGGTTAAACATATATTTTCAGATATGGTTAAACATTTCACTTCTATTTCCACTTGGTTTGAATTTTTCTCATATTGCCTTTGGTTATTGGGTATTTGGCAAAGTGTATTGGCTTATTTGTTACCTTTCCATAATCACTCAGTAATTATAATTTGCACAATTTTTTAAGTTATAGAAGTCAAGTTTCAATTCTAACATTTTTGTATGCAATCAATCTGTAGATATTTCCTTGGCAGTTTTGTCAGAAGCTCTAGTTGCTTGTAAAATGTCACTTGATAATATGTACATTAGTTATTCAAATAAATTTTATCTTAAAAAACACTTGCCTTATATGACTTTTATTTCTGATTTCAATGAACTATTGAATATAGACATAGTCAGGGTTTTTAGAGTTCATGATTTAACATTTATGCATTCTAGATCCCTCCTCAACATCTTTTTGGCCAGTCTTAATCTACAAACTCAATTCCTTCATCCTCAAAACTTTCTCTTATATTTGCCTAGCTAACACCTTTCCACAACCCATCACCACACTCTTCCTCTCTGGCCACACTCTAAATCCGATTGTCAATGTTCTCTGTTCCACCATTTCTCTGTTTCCACTACTGAGGAAATAAAACCTTGCTTCCTGACTATCAAGAATTTACTCTCTCCATCTCCTCCCAGACTATGTATGCTGTTTGTGGTCTTTTTAAAAAACTGTGGAAAAAGTAAAAAACATAAAATTTTCTCTCTAAACCCTTTTTAAGTGTACAGTTCAGAAGTGTTGAGTACGTTTACATCATTGTGAAACAGAGCTCTAGACCTTTTCCATCTTAAGAAATTTTTTTCCTTTGAACAAAACAGGTTTATTTTTTAAATTTTATTTAAATTGTTATTGCAGTACAATTTTCTTTTACTCCCATCCCCACCCACTCACCCAGCCCTTCCCTCCTCCCTCCCATTTCCACCTGCCCCTAGTTTTTATCCATGTGTCCTTTATACTCATTCCTGTAAACCCTTCCCCTTTTCCCCTGAAGTTCCCCTGAAATTCCATCTTAAGAAATTAAATGCTATTCTTACTACACAATAACTCCACATTTCCCCGTCCCTCCAGTCTTTGGCAACCATGACTTTACTTTCTGTTTCAATCAATTAACTACTTTAGCTACTTCATATTGGTGGAATCATACAGTATTTGCCTTTTTCGACAAATGTATTTCACTTAGCATAGTGTCTTCAAGGTCCATCCCTATTGTAACATGTTTCAGATTTCTTTCTTTTTTCAGGCTCAATTGCATTTCATTGTACATATATACAACATTGTGTTTATGCATTCATTTGTCCATGAGCATTTGGCTTGCTTTTACCTTGTGGCTGTTGTGAATAATATTGCTGCAAACACAGGTGTGCAAATATCTCTAAGACATTGCTTTCAATTCTTTTGGATATATACCCAGAAGTGGGATGTAGTTCAGCATCTTTTTTTCATTCCTATTTTCATTTTCATTTCTCTATTATCTGTTCATGCACCTCAGGCCAGCTACTGTAATCTACCATGATCTGTAGTATTCATCTTTCTCTTAACAAATGTTGGAAACATCATGGGTAACTCTCAACTTTCTCTTCCTCCACCTCCAAGCTTATCTATATCCACTGTCATTTCCACCAACCACTTTGCACTGATTATACTCTTCTATACCATCCCTTTCTCTTTCCTCCAGGACATTGCTACAATAGTTATATCCTCTCTCATCACTGGCTCCTTTCTACCTGCAAACCTGCATAAGCTAATACACATTCATGTGCAAATCACAAAAATCTACCTCACACTGGTTTGGACCAAAATGGGATTTTATTGTATCACATGACAGAAAAGAGCATGGGTGTGCTGGCTTCAGTCAAAACAGGATTTAATATTGAAACCCCATCCTCAGGAATCTTCCATCCTCTTTTTGCTTTTCTCTGCTGGCCTCAGTCTGTAGTTGACAACTCTAAAAACTGGAAAAATATTTGCTGATAATGACAAGCACACACCTCATCAGCTTAGCATTCCAGAAAAAAACTTTTTCTGTCCAATAATGTCTTCAAAATTCCCTTCATTACCTCTGATTTGTCCAGACACAGGTCATATGTCCCCAACTAAACCACTTACTAGGGCCAGGGCAATGAAATGCCAGATGACAAGGCCTAAGCTGCCTGCACAGGCTCGGAGCTGGGGTAGGATTGATCAACCTCAGTGGTTCTCAAATGGGGTGACTAAGTTTCTGCTGAGGACATTGGCAATGTCTGTAGACATTTTTGGTTGTTACAACTGGAGGAGGGGAGTGTTTGACATCCAGTGGGTAGAAGTCAAAGATACTGTTAAACATCCCCAAGTGCATAGGGAAGCCTCCTACAACAAAGAATAAGCTGTTTCAACATGTCAATAGAGTCAGGGTAGAGAAACCATGGTCTGTGTGAACCATATGGAGCTAAGTTAAAGGGGGAATTTCCTAAAGGATAATCAGAGGACCAATCCCAGATAAAAGGGCTCACTTCAAGCAGCCCAGCTGAAAACAAATCCTCCTCAAACCATCCATGCTTCTCTTTTAAGCTATCCCCCTACCCTTTACCACTAAATTATCTGAAAAAGTGGTTGACCTTAGTTACTTCAATTATTTCACTTATTCACTCAACAAATAATTATATACATCCTTCAGTGTGCTAAACAACGTTTTAGGTCATGGGATGCAGCGGTGATAAAATGAAAGTCCTCATGTAGCTGTCATTCTAGTGAGGAGAAACAGACAATTAAGCAGATTGTCAAATTACAATTGAACAAAGAATATAAATACAATACTTTTAATTATATAAAGCAGTGGAAAAGGAAAGAAAGTTCAATGGGGATGTGCAATTGTTAATAGTGGCCAAGGAAGGCTTTGTAGATGGGGTCACATGTGAGCAAAAGAACCCAAGATGAGGGAGCCATGCAGATAGCTATCGGGCCAGAAAGTGTTCCATGCAAAAAGAACATTAAAAGGAAAACAAACAACTATGCTGGCAACATTTGGAAAAATCCATTAGAAAAGGAAACAGCATGCTGAAGAAAGAGGAGAATTCCTGGAGTGATGTTTTTGAACAAGTAAAAGCAGATGAACTGTCCTGAACTAGCAGACTTGGAGAAGGTAACTTTAGATAATGCTGTGAACAGAAGAACCATAGGTCTTCAGCTGAAGTGAGGAGAGAAGTTTGTGAGAATTTGTTTTGATTGCTTCTATTTTCTCTGAAGAAAAGCAGAAAAACTGTAAACAGATTGAGAATGAATTAGGAGATATGTACATTCAACATCGATTAAAAATATAAAATCATCACTTAATAGAATGACAGAGTAAATGGACTAGGCAAATACAGTAGGAATACTTGCCAGCATTATAATGGTCCACTTGAAATGAGTTGTCTTTAAAGTAAGAGTAGTCATCAGGGATTCATGTTTTTCTCCAGCCATATTCTATTTCTTGGAAACAGGGGCAAAATTATGGAGAATTGACTCTACCCAGGATTATTGTTTGTCTGAAGTGTATCATAAGTGACAGAAGAGCAATGGAGCTGAGGTTGCATGCAAGATAGTGATTACAGTGATAGAACATGGAAATTAACCTGGTAAGGCTGAAAGTGAGGACGAGAAGAGGGTCTGAGGCTGAACGATGGTGGTGAGATCAGTGGGTTGCAGGTACTGCGAAATACAGAGGTTGTTGTGGTCAGGGCAAACTAGAAGGGCAGGACTGGTGGTTGGACAGTGGGAAGACAGAAACTCTGGAAGGTCTGCAGTTATTAATGAGGACAAGTTATAAGGTACTTCCATGGATGTAAGTGGCAGAGTAGAGTGAAGGACCAGATCATCAGCAGAAAATATAAGGCACTGAAAGACCAGGTATTTGGAAATAGCATCACTATGAATATTGAATCACTTGGGAGTATGAATGCCATAAGAGTGCTGAAGGTTGCTGTGAGGTAGGAGCTAAAACCTTCAAGTAATGAGGGGAGACAGCAGAGGCCAGGAGATTAGTGCAAAAGAGATGGTAATGAGTGGTGTATTCTGATAGCTTGTGAGGTAAGGCTAGGGAGTTGAAGCTTCTATTCCCTTTTCATCAGCCTACTGGGATGTTGCTGCTTCTTCCATTGCTCTACTAGGAATGACTTCAAAGGATAATAACAGATCCTTGAAAATATGTTATTAAATGTATTAAAAAAGAGGTGCAAAAAGTGATACGATCAAATATGATAAATATTTTTTGCAGTAAAGTCTTGAAAGAAAGATGAATGGAAACTAATGGAAAATAAAAAACAATTTGCGACACTGTCCTTTCTCATCTTTGAGGGTCAGAGCTAAGACTTGAGTAAAAGAGCCAAATGAAGTAAGACAGTGTCCAGGAATCTATGTGAGCTGACATTATGCATGCTGAATTATATAGGTTTGCTGGATGTTGGGTGTTCATGTGTGAAGTTTCACTCAGTGTACCTTTCCATCATGAGTGCCTTTGCTCCACCATGAGTCTTAGCTATGCATGGAAGACAAAGGAGCTAACACATTTTCTGACATATCTGCTACCGTATCTCTTCAAGTCTCTTCCTACCCCCTCTGTACAGTACTTTATATTTGGAATTCCTGCACCCTCCACACAGCTCATGTCAACTCTTGCTTTAGAAACAGCTGAGTCTTCTTTCTACTAATTTTGAAATCTGGGTTCTAGTCTCAGAGGCTAAAGACCTCTAAAAGTTCATGGTTAGGGCTTATTCTATATAACTGCTTTCCTTTGTAATCCATGTACTTTATTTTATGCATTTAAAAATAATTCTGAGAAGGGATCCATAGGATTAACCAACAGGCAAAAAGATCCATAATACATAAAAATGTTAAATATTTGTTTTCCAAAGAACTTTTTCCTAGAACTTTCCCACATCCCCTGGACCACAGTAAACTCCATCTGTCCCATACCCAAGGCTTTATCAGTTAAAAAAAAAAGGAAAATCTTTTTATGCTTTTTCTTGATCCAGTAACACACACTCTTTCTCTCATATTTGTCTCCTATTGCTGCAGTAACATGTTACCTTGTAGGCACAAATGACACAGATTGATTCTTTACAGTTCTGTTCAGAAGTCTAAAAAGAGTCTGATAGGGCTAAAATCACAGTGTCAGCATGACTGGTGCCTTCCGAACGCTCCAGGGGAGAATTCCTGACTTGCTTTTTCCAGCTTCTAGAGGGGACTGTCATTCCTTGGTTTATGGCAGCATCATTCTATCTGCTTTGGTCATCACTTTCTCCCCCTATGATCTACCTACTTCCTTCCTCTGACCAGG